GAGCGTAGTAGGAGAGAACCCGGTGCAACGCACACGACGAGGCTAGGTAAGCCTGGTGCACTCTTTTCTTAGCATGGCCGGAACAATTCATAAGTACCCCCGAGCGGGGGGAAAGAAAACTGCTCTTTTCTTGTAGCAAGTACCGTCAAAGACCCCATGCACGCCTTTGTTGCGCGTGGTGGGAAGAAAGATCACGGCCTCGGAGTCCTCGAAAGAGGGCACCTACCATGCACGCCTTTATTGCACGTGGTGGGAAAGGCCCAGTTTTTCCATAGTTTTCCCCTAAACGGGGGAGACGTCGAGAGGCTGACGAAATTTTGAGTAAAATGTTACTATACTCGGACCAGTTTGAACTCAAAAGAACAAGAGCCTGGACTCAGGTGAGAAAAAGTAGTGGACTGTTGTGCTTGATTGAACACGAGCAAGTGACCTGAACAAAATCTAAATGATTTCTAAAGTTCAAATCCAAATAAAATAAAATCAGATTGGAGCTGAATTCAAACCAAATTGTGTATTCAATAGAACTTGCAAAGACTTTAGATGACTTTGATAAATCATTTGAACGTGCACTCGAACTCAGACAATACAACATTAAGTGGGACTTGTAAACTCGGTGAGTTCAAGTCTAAATGAAGCCTGAACTTGCAAATGAATTACAAAGAACCTAATGTGGACCACAAGAGGCATGAATCTCCAAAGGCTTTAGACCTGTACTTCTACTCAAACCCAATCTACAATTTGAATATGTATACTGAATTGAACTTGAACTAGATTCAAACCTGGATTTCGATATTGAATCTAAACAAAGTGTAGAATGACATAGACCTCTGAATGATCAATAATCAAGCTTCAGGATCAAGTGCATATCAACAAATAATTATGACACTCCCTATGCAAGTGGAGGGACTTGGCATACAAGCAAGCACATCAGTACCCTATGAGCCTAAGGAAATTGGCACATAAGTGAATGTGGCAAGAGGGCGGCTAATGTATGTGAAAAAGTCAACGATGAATGCAACGAAATCTTACGACAATCCCTACAAATGCCTGTTGATTGAGAAGGCAATACGGGAGACCAATAATGGAAGATCCGCCCCCACAAGCAAGTGCAATCATCAAACCACCTGAGATTGGTGAAAGGTGGATATGATACTGATGTCAATGGGTCTTCTACAAATACCTTCAGGAGGTCGTAGTAGATACAACGATCTCCTGCAAATGAGTACAAATCACTTGTGGAAAATAATGGTGAGTATATCGTAAGTACAACGAACCACTGTGGGCATAAGTACAGATATCACCTACGAAAATGGTGATCAAGATCTTCAAGTACGTCGGGTACAAGGACAACCCGATGCATGGAAAAGGAAATCTCCTGACATAATGGAAGATATGTTTGAGCAACTTCGAACTAAACTCCCTGGTGTCCCAAAATTCCTCCTTGATCCTGTACTTAGGAAGGAAAATAACTCTGGCATCCATGAATATCAGAAATAACAAGCCCACTACACTAAAGACCCTGGAGGAAGTTCTTTCCAAAGCAATGGTCACGAACTTCAAAGAAGCCTTCCCCGATGAATGACAAAAGGGGAGAGGAGTCAACATCAAGACCATCCGCCACCGAATCTGCAACACTTATGCAAGCAGACATAAGGCGTTTACAATCTACAACGCACCACCACCAGATCCGCAACACGTACTAGCGGACAGAAAGCATATATAACCTCCTAAATGAAATGTTGTGCATTCAAATGACAATTATCTGCACAACTAGAATACTTCAAAATACCCCTGCACGTGCACCATAATTTGTATACACATAGGTACACAAAGGGGTATGTCAAATCTATAAAATTCTAAAGCACCAGCATGGGCCCCGGCGAGTGTGTTATTGGTACACACATGATATCTAGGGATGCTGCGCAGGTCGATAAGTGAATTCAAGTTTGAACCCGGTCCATCTATACGGATCAATAGGAATCAACAGGGTTGGATCCTCCAAATGAATACCCGGTTGTGGCGACCAGTGTATTTGTTTTGATACATTCATATTAGGTTGTCATCGCCTATAACAATGAGAAATCACTAACAAAGGCACAAAGCCCACGAAACCCGATCCCCTATCGGTAAGTTGATAGGGTTGACAAGGTTCAAGCTCCAAATAAATATGACCCCAACCACCCCGATGATGGCCGTGTTGAACGAAAATCTCAACCGGAGGGGTTCACAAACACCTTCAAATGCATTCCAAGCAATACCCAAATACTTACAAAATCCAAATTTCCAAAAATCCCAAATTCCAAAATGTTTAAAATTGAAATCAAACCGCCAATCACTTAAAGCAAAATTCATCCACCCTCCGCAACAGTTTGCCGTGGTGAACAAATTAAAATTTACTTCAACTCATATAGAGCTAAATGTCTAGTCGAAAATCTCACTAGGATTCATTCTCAAACAATCTCCTGCCAGTAAGGACGTGGTACGTGTCCTCTAACCGGTGGTTTTGAATGGCACCGCAGGATAAACGGTTATGACCCGGGGCCCTCTGAACCGAGTGGTTTTGCCGCCAAATGGCACCACGAAATACCGGTTATGGCCAAAGCCAATACATTCCTTATTGGCATCAAATCCTTGAGATATGAATCAATAGGATATGATCGATATGGCACAAAGCCCTCTATTAGTTAAGGTGGATTCAAATTTGTCCCCTTACGCAAACATCCAACCCAGATCTACAAGGTCCCCTTGGACGAAGCAACCCATGGCTGCCGACAAGGATCCATCTATCAGGTTGGGTCGACTACCTCCTCTGACTAAGTAGACTAGGGACCACAATGGCCCGGGATGACAAAACCTAGGATCTTGATCGGGTCTATCATCCATTCTCCCACCATCCGCTTTAAGTGAAAGATGGTAGAAATTTCTATTTTTAAATATCAAAATTTCCAAATTCCCAAATCCAAACCCAACACCTATACCCAAAACTTATGCTGCTACTATGTGCCAGATAACACGTATCTCTACGTATCTGATTGACGACTAGCCTTAATCGAAAGTTCTCTCTCGTGATCGGGAGGGGTAATTAACTATAGGGGCTTGCGTCTATAGGAAATAAGAACTCAGATCATAAAGTCCTCGCAAAATGAGGGCGAAATCTCTGGGTAGTGTCTTATCTACAAACCCATCTGCCTTCCAAAATTTTCCCCGGAACTTATTCCGTTAAAACTCCCTCGTAAAAGAAAAAAGCACATCAAATCAGCGGGCGGAGGCCTGGGCTGAATTTTCGGAGCCCACAATAATTTGCAACCTCGCCTCTTCCACTTGTTCATAAAGAACTCCTCAAAAGCTAAATGAACAACTTTAGGATCCATCTGAATAAAGCTATTGAGATAAGAGATTTGGTTAATCATGTTACCATTCCTTCTAGTTGTTGCATAAGCATGGAAAAAATGAGAGTTTTAATCTCCTTCTTCCATCCATTATGTCTTAGAACGTTGCCTCCACCAAGTTGCAAGTTTAGCAAGCATAACATTCAACTCATGAACTTTTTCCCTAAGAATTAACAACTTTTCAGGGCTCAATACATTCATCATAGTCTCCTTTTCATGTAATAATAAGATCTCATTTTGTAAGGTTGACTTGAGATTATTCAATTCCCTTAGCTTATTTTTATTCCAATAAAATAAACATTTAAAAGATCTTCTAACCTTCCTCTAAAGAACCTCCGCAGATAACCCATAATCCCTTTTACTCCATATTTTAGTTATAATGCCTCTCAAAGCTTCATACGAACACCAAATATTTTCAAATCTGATCTCCTTATGCTAGTAAGCCTTAGAATTATTTAAATTAAATAACAAAGGAAAATAATCATAAGTGACTCTTAGAAGATGTCTAATTACCACAAAAGGAACATACTCCAAGGCTTTAGAGTTTAAAAAAATAATATCAAGTCTTTCCCAAATACGAGCAAGGCATTCCTTATTATTGAACCAAGTATACTTAGGACGAACAATACCAATGTCATGGAAATCATTCTTAGTAATGAACTCCTTCATTTCTTGGGGTCCTTGAGAGAATAAGAACCTTTTTCCAACCTTCTTTTCTTCCTTAGATTAGTAAGAAACTCAAATCACTTCTAACAATACAAGGATTATCATTAGAAGTATAATCTTCTATAATCTTCCACAAATTCCTTCTTTCATAAAGATCTTTATTCCCATATACAATTGTCACTGTCATTGAGAGGCCTCTAGGAAATTGTAAATTCCCAATCACACATTGATTAGACAAATTTACTATAGAAAAAAAAATCTTGCTTTTCAAAAGGGAACGCATACCACCCGATGTTCCATTAGCTACAAAATGGAGAAAGCCCCAATCATCATACATTATTCTACGAACTTCAGATTTATCCACATTTAATAACTTAGTTTCCAAAAAACCAATAAAGAAAACATCATTCTCAAAAATCAAACTTCTCAAATAATGGGAAGCTTCCTTTTTCTTTGCTCCCCTACAATTCCAAAAAACCCTAGTTCATGATTCATACATATCAACTTCTCGCCGTAAAGTTATGAGGTGTTTAGCCTAGCAAACCTCAAGAATAGCAATTAATAATAACATGATCATACATTTTTTCGGAGCAATGGTTTGTGGTCATAAAATTTACAAATACATGAAGTAAATTTTTATTTCAATCATAATATTTTAGGCTTCTAAATATTTGCTCATCAAATGCTGACAAATTATAGTAGTTTCATTCACATATATGGAAGACTGGCACAAGCACCTTGATATGAGTAGAAGTTAATCTTCCATCTACAAGACCAAGAATTGAAAAGGCCAGTGACAAAAACTAGCAAGCATGCTTCTGATCAGATAAATAAAAACGAGGATTTTCAAAGCAAATTGAGTGAAACGATTGATTCACAACTAACTTTTTAGGCTCATAAAAAAAATATTGAAATACCATGCAATGATGCAAACAAATCAAATACCTTTCTGCCATCTCCCCACAGGAGCCATGATGCTGTGACCAAGGTAGTTCTCACGGTGCTTATCAACTTTGACATCATCCCATTTGAATTCTGCGGGGTAAAATAAGCAAACATTGAAATGATAAGTTACATAAGTTCATAAAGATACAAAAGTAACATATGATCAGTACCAGGACACTACTTTATATGAGATAGCCAGGCTGCGAAAACTTATCCTAACTTTTGAATCAAAACAGAAGTTAGTATTTGTCCTTCCATGAAATAAGACGAGTTTATACATTGAGTTGAACATAGAAACATAATTTTATTTTGGGGCAATGATAAATAGCTGCGATTACTTGCAATGCTTTTACTATAAACACATTGTTTCGTTGAAATTTGATATTTATACATCTGAGACGGATTTGGAATTTAGAAAGTGGCAAATTTACGTATCATGATGTAAATATATGTTCTATATGAAAAAATATCAGGAGACTCTAAAGTTGCAAATATAATAGTTTGATTCAACCATTCAGGCGAATGATTCATAGAGCTACCAAAACTGCGTGCATCTTAACAATGTGTCATGAACCCAACAAAAGTAAAGCTTACGGAGGTAAGACTAGAGCCAAACCATCAAATTATGAGAAAGCATCAATAACATGATTCAAGAGAATCTTTCTAAAACTACCTTAAACCCTGTATATCTATACTACCATATAAGTGCAGCTTAATATTTTTCCCAAATAAAATCCGGGCCATACATTGCTAATCTTCTCAAACCAAATCTGATAATCCAACTGGTGCTATTATAATTCTGCATGTTTTGTATTCCATTCTAGAAACAAAATTGTGAAACTTCTCACATTACCTATCTGAAATATATTGTTATTCTTCTCAAATCAAATTTGTCCATCCATCTGACATTATGATAATTCTAAATGCTTCGTATTCCGCTTCAAAAATAAAATCCCAAGGCAACTCTTTGTATTCCCAGTTGTTATTATACATTAAATTGTGAAACTCCTCACATTAACTATCTGAAATACATTGTAGAACTCCCTGCTAAAGCCGAAACCGGAGAAGGGATTGTTGGACCTTGTCTGTAAAAGTGGAGGAAGAAGAAGCTTCACTAGCGTGACGATCATAGTTTATCTTTGGCATTAGAAATGAGTTAAGTAGTCAACACCATCCATTGCTCTTCCATTTATTATGTATGCATATGAGCTTAACTCATCTGTTATGAAGTAAATGGATTGTTCTAATTTCATATTTGATGTTTGCATATAATTGTATTAAACGATAATACAACTTATGTCCTTTCTAAGCAAATAGTAGTTGTTGTCTTTATTATTATGCAAACGTTTACAACAAAAATGATTTCATAACCAAATTCTGCATTTTATACCTTAAAAAAATCATGAAAAAGAAGAAAACAAATCATATTTTAATGCAAAATTATATGCATATATTGTATATGAATTCTTTGACTTCTCTAAATCAATTAAAAAAATATTTCAAGATGAATCGAAGTTGAAATAATACATTGAAATCTATATAATTAAAAAAAATAAGATATTTCCATCAGCATCACTTATTACTTAAAAACATCTCTTATTACTTGACATTACAATTACAAAATATGTATTCATCTTCTTTGCAAATTTCTTAAAATGGTTCAAATTAGTTGGTGAAACAACACAATTATTTTTTACGGAAAGCAATTTACTTTTGTTTATTTGTCAAAATTTTGCTTTTCCACATATAACTATTAAATTCTAAGAAAAACTGTGGCTATTGAAGTTATAAAAATTTTATAATACAAAGGGCATTTTAATAAAATTATAGATATTCTTGATAGTATTTATATTCAGAAATTTTATTTTTAGAATATATTTCATTTGTAATTCTATCATAATACTTTTTTTTTTCTAATACATAATTTATTTATATTTTTAAATAATCCATATCTGAAAATTATTGATCATATTCGTTAATGTACTTTTTCCAATTAATATCAAAGAATCTAATTTATTTTCTTCATCTATTATTTCAATTAGCCACAAAAGTTGCCATCGTTTTATGGACAAGTATACATAAAGTTATTTAACTATATGTACATTTTCTAATAAATTTTGGAGATAGAATTTATTCAATTTTGCATGATATTATTTCATATTGATGTAATTAATTTAAATCTTTAGCCTTATAAATTATGTGTTATTTATAATACTAATTTTATGATTATCATTAATATATATTTCAGTTATAATTCTACTATGTTATTTTAATCACTTTCGAACACATTATTTATTAAAGTGAATTTTATTATTGTTTGTTTGCATCAACTTTTGACTAAAAGTAAGTAATCCGCACTTTTCATTAATTAATTAGTTGGAGGTTATAAAAGATTATCATAAGAGAAAAAAAATTATCATAAAATATTATATAATCTCTAACACTGTCATTACTAGATTCCAAATCTTGGATGAGAAAAGTGGAGGGTTGCGTTATATAGTTGACAGTCAGCGTAAAGCTTGTCAAATAATCATGACATGAATCATTTAATACATTGTATTAATGCAAGGATGTTCCCTAAAAGTGACGCGGTGTATGGCCTGAATACAGTGAGAAGTGTGCAAAAGCTGCTGCATCGGCGCGGATGTAGTGTTAAATAAGCAAGGGTTCCCACATCATAGACAAATTTGGGTAAAAAAGTAAGTTCATGAAACTAAAATTAGGTTAGGATCATGGAATATATGTTTCCTTACAGATAAATTAATGAAACTAATCAATTATTTTATATTATAATTTATAGGAAGATAAATATTCTATGCATTCAAGAAACTAAATGGGTGGGAGAGAAGACTAAGAATATGGATAGTTTAGGGTTTAAACATTAGTATTGGGGTAGAAGTCATAATTGAAATGATATAGGCGTGATTATAGATAATAGTTTGAAAAATAATGTTGTAAAAATTGATAGAATTCAAGATAGAATTATAGATTTGACGATTATTGTTGATGATAAGATTATTAATATTATAAGTGCTTATGCTCCTCAAGCAGGTTTGGATATGTGTTTAAAATTAAAATTTTGCAATGACTTAGAAGAATTAATACAAAAGATACCTCTTGAAGAAGGAGTTTTTTTTTAGGAGATTTAAATGGACATGTTGGTAAAGAGGCATAGGATTTTAAAATCACTCATGGTGGCTATGGGTTTGGAGCAACTAATGAAGGTAGTAAGACTATATTAGATTTTGCTCTAGCTTATGATTTTATTACTGCTAATACCTTTTTTAAGAAAAGAAATGAGCATTTCTTCACTTATAAGAATGAATATAGTAAAACTCAAATTGATTATTTTCTTGTAAGAAAAATATATCGTTTCGATTGCAGAGATTGTAAAATTATTCCGATTGAAAGTCTATGTACCTAACACCGCTTATTAGATTTGAACTTTAGGATGAAGGGATAGAGTATAAAAAATATAGTATATTGTTATTATAGGATTAGATTGTGACATTTAAAGAACTCTAACAAAAATATTTTTTAGAGTAAGATTCACGATCTTAAAAATTTGTCGTACATAACGAAGCTAATGTTATATGGGTAGTAACTTGTAATTTTAAGAATGTTGAAAAGAATGTGCTTGGAGTATCAAAATGAAAAGCTTTTAATAGTAAAAATAGTTGGTGGTGAAATCAAATTGTGTAAAAAAAAAGATAAAAAATAAGAAGCTCTGTTATAAAAATTGGTTTACATATAAAAATTCTAAAATTTAGGGAAAATATAAAGTTGCTCATAAGGAGTCTAAGAAAGCATTCTGTGATACAAAGACCTTGGCTTTTAATGATTTATATAATATATTAGATACAAAAGAAGGCTAAAGATTAATGTATAAGCTAGCCAAACAAAGAAATAGTAGTAAGGATTTAGTTCAAGTGAAGTGCATAAGGATGAAAATAAAAAAGTACTTTTTTGGAAGAGAATATTCAATAAGGGTGGATAAGATAATTTGTTAGATTTTTAATGAAAATTGTGAAAATACGATTGACTTAGTGACCTTAACACTCTAAATAAAAATAGAGGATTTTTTTTTATCGGCGTATTACAAAAAACTGAAGTTAGAGAAGCTTTAAAGAAAATGAAGTGTGGGAAACGGTTGGACCTGATGATATTCCAACAGAGGTGTGGAAATACTTAGGAGATGAAGAAATTCATTTGCTTATTAAACTTTTTAATATTATTTTGAAGGAAAAGGAGGTGCAAAATGTGTGGAGAATGAGTGTGTTGATTCCTATCTTTAAGAATAAAGGTGATGCATAAGATTGTGTAAATAATAGAGGAATTAAGTTGATGTGTCATACTTTAAAACTATGGGAAAGAGTTATGGAGCATAGGTTTTGACGTAATACTAATATTTCTCAAAATCAATTTGAATTCATGCCGGGTAGGTCTACTATAGAAGTCATAAATTTATTAAGAGGTTTGATGGAAAGTATAGAGAGAAAAACAAAGATCTTCATATGATATTTATTGATTTAAAGAAAGTATATGATAAAGTTCCAAGAGAAGTGCAATGGAGAGCTCTAGAAAAGAAAGGGACTAATAATGTTTATATTCAAGTCATTAGAGATGTGTATGCTAGAGCTATTACTTGTGTTCAAACACAAGGTCGTTTGACCAAGTATTTTCCAATTTTAGTTGGATTACATCAAGGATCAGCATTAAGCCCATATCTTTTTGCTTTAGTCATAAATGTTCTTACTAGAGATTTGCAAGAGGATGTTCCCTAGTGTATGCTTTTGCTGACGATATTCTTCTTGTTGACAAGACTAAAGAGGGAGTTGAAGGTAAACTTGAATTATTGAGGTCAACTGTAGAGTCTAAAGGTTTTTAGTAGATCTAAAACAAAATACATTGAGTGTAATTTTAGTAATAATAGATCTAGTAGGGGTTTGAGACTTTGAGCGATCAATTCATTAATAAGAGTATACGTTTTAGATATCTTTGGTCTATTGTTCAGAGTGATGGTGATGGGGGATATTATTAGTAGAATTCAAGTTGGGTGGATGAAGTGGAGGAATGCATCGGGCTTGTTG